GCACACAACCCTAGGATTTCTTTTCGGCGTGTATTTATAAGCATAAAGCTGGCTACGGGTGGGCCTCTTACAACGTGGGTTTTGCTGCCAGCTCGTGCTTTTCACAACGTAGGCCCCCACTCACAATATCTCTTCATGAGGCTTCTTTGCTGCTCTCCGCTCTGTTCAAGCATCCGCATGATGGCCCCTACGCCCTATCCAATAATTCTCTACCTCGGCGAAGTTTCTTTCAAAACTGAGCCGACACCAACCAAAACAAATGTCTCACTTGTTGCGTCCAGTACGAAGTAAAAACGATTCACGATAACGGACTCAATCTACAACAAGTCGAGACCCAAACGGGAGTGCGAACACTCTCCTAAACGTCGATATCTACTCATCAAAACGGTCTCACCCACCCATCAAAATCAACTAATCCAAAATGACTGCATCATAAATGACTGCCTACGTATCCGCTTGCCCAAGGAATCAAGCCTTACGTAGTTCATCCAAATGGCTACGAACGACCTCAATCTAATAGAAGAGTTCACAACCCTTCTCTAATATCATCAACTCCGCGGCTGATAGCACCTCCAATGGCCTCACAGTGTAACGAATCAAATACCTCCACCTGAGGTGAACCAATGTCCATATCTAAACTATGTCTGCCAGCTGCACTCAAATCAACCAACTCATCATCTGCATCCAAATCCAAAAGATCTCCAAGCTGTGTCACCTCAGCTGGAATCCTAAACGATGCAGTATGATCTGGAGTACGTGGAATAATCTCCACCCAATGTGAAGTAGCATCACTCTTCACCTGCTGCGATACATCTAAGGTCTGTCCAGAACTCTTCACCAGCTGAGAGTCAATAGGCTCCCTCATCGAAGCCTCATCCAATATGACAATACTAGATCAAATATCCAATTGAGTTTTACCTCCAATCACAGCAGTTGGCAACTCTTTAATAGGATGATCCAAATATGTCGAAGCCTCAGTCCAGAAACTCTTCTGCAAACCATTGCTTGACAACAAACACCGATCCTCCTCCAGCAAGGCACGGTTCTTCAAATTTATCACCCTATCTAGTTGTCTCAAGATTTCCTTTCTAACAAAGTATCTCGAAATACCGTGATCTCGGCTCCAATACAGAAACATGTCCATCTTGTACCTCCCACCAAAACCTGAATAAGGTACCTTCACTTTTCTGTCAATCTCATACTTCTTCAATCTGTTGGATACTACTAGGACTTTCTCCAAAAAGGATTTGGTTGTAACCAAAACACGCCTAGAACAACCACCAACAAAAGAAATCAAACTTCTATTACCTCCCAATGATGTCCCCTTGGAAGGCCCCCAAACATCCACGTGAACACCTTCAGAACGACCCTTAGCACGGTGAATAGATGTGCCAAACTTCATCTCGGCCTTCTTGCTCACATCAATATGTTCACTAGACTTCAAACTACAGGTCTTCACACCCTCTTTCAATTTATACGAGAAATTAATACTGGAATGACCAAGCCCCAAATGTCGCAGTCTAGTCGAATCAATAGAAGTCGCCATAACTCCACCTGCCACTATACCTTCAGTCAAGTAATACAGGTTATTCCTCCTGACGCCCTTCATCATAATCTGAGAGTCTTTCACAATCTTAAAAACCATGTCCTCAATTCGAACATTCAGACCCTCTCCAACCAAAGCTCCAATCGAGATCAAGTTATTCCTTAAGAAATGAACATATCTCACATCATATAACTCTCTAACAGTCCCGTCAAACATCTTGATGCGAATTCTTCCTATCCCCATATCTCACATCATATAACTCTCTAACAGTCCCGTCAAACATCTTGATGCGAATTCTTCCTATCCCAAGGATCTGGCATGCACGGCCCGTCAAACATCTTGATGCGAATTCTTCCTATCCCAAGGATCTGGCATGCACGGTTATCAGCCATGTATACCACACCACTATTCAGCTTCTCAAAACTGAAGAACCATTCCCTTTTAGGGCACACATGATAGGTCGCACCACTATCCAACATCCATTCAGATTCATTCGAATAGCTATCTGTAGGACTGATAGAAAGCGAATAAATAGAAGAGTCAGAATTATTACCATCCGATATAACGATGTTTGCTTCTGATGATGGTTGCTTCCCTTTTCCCTTCTGCTTATTCTTCATCCATTCGCCGAGCTTTAGACAATCTTTCTTCTAATGACCAGTCTCCTTACACCAAGCACACTGATCTTTTTTAATTGTAGGATGTCCTACTCTAGACTGTGACTTCCAATTCTTCCGGTTTGGACCATTCCCTCTTGCGACCAACACCTCTGCTACCGGCTCAACTAAAGCCTCCTTATCCTTCTTTCGAAGCTGATAGTTCACAAGTGCATTAGTCACCTCACTATACGAAAGAGATACCTTCCCATTAATCAGAGTAAGAACGAAGGTCTCATATTCCTCGTTGGACAATGAACTTAACAATAGCAACGCCTTATCCTCATCTTCAATCTTGATATCCACATTCGCCAAATCCGCAAGAAGCTTTGTGTATGTGTTCATGTGATCACTAATTGAGGTTCCCTTCTTCAATTGGAAACGATAAAGTCTCCTCTTCAAATGCAAGCGGTTCTCAACACTCTTTGTCAGATACTTGCTTTCGAGAATCTCCCAAATCTTCTTCGCAGAAGTCTCATTCATCACATTGTATTTTAGATCTTGAGTCAAACAAGATCTAATCACACCACACGCCGTTCGATTCATCTTCTTCCAAACTTTCTCTTCAATATCATCTGGCTTGCCATCTAACTCCAAGGTATCCTAAATTTTGCTCGTTCAGCGCATCCAAAACCTCGCATCTCCATAATCCAAAGTTGTTTGTGCCATTAAACTTCTCCACATCTATCTTCATAAAGTGGATATTCAAACTCTGAATGGTCTTCGCGCCAGAAGCTCCACTCTCGACACCCGAAGCACCTTCTTTCCCTGACATCTTTCTCAACGCACCAACGAATGAAGAATAGATCCAAAACTAAAAAGATAGAGTCTTTTACCAAAAGATCCAACCTTTATCACCAAACAAAGCCCTAGACGAGCTTTTAAATCGATCTACTCCTCCAAATAGCCCAAGCATAGCCCGAGCTCTGATACCACTTGTTGTGCACAACGGAAATTTCGACAGAGTTTCTGGTACACAACGAGAAAGAAAGATCCAATAAGAATTCTCGTCTCACCAAGGAAACAAGAATATGAAGCGAATATCTCAACAAAGTGAGATATCAGCTCTTCCTCTCATCAGTTCTAGGACTGACCTGTCGAGGGATCCTAATAAACTATTACAATGGCCACAAACACAAAACAAACGATTTTACGTGTTTCGGCAAATTGCCTACGTCCACGGGGCAAGGAAGGGGGAGGGGGGAGATCTACTATTAGAGGGAGAGAATACAACTAGGGTTTACAATCACACAAATCAACCCTCAAACTAACTCTCAAATCCCCCTCACACCAGCACAAAAGATTGCAGCCGCACTCTGTGTTTTCTTTCTTTTGCTACAGCATAAACCCTCAGCCTTTTTTTTCTTTCCGACTGCACAAACCCTCTTTGCACTCAGCCGCTTTTTCCCTTGCTCTGTACCTTTTCCTCCTCCTGCACACAACCCTAGGATTTCTTTTCGGTGTGTATTTATAAGCATAAAGCTGGCTACGGGTGGGCCTCTTACAATGTGGGTTTTGCTGCCAGCTCGTGCCTTTCACAACGTGGGCCCCCACTCACAATATCTCTTCATGAGGCTTCTTTGCTGCCCTCCGCTCTGTTCACGCGTCCGCATGGTGGCCCCCACGCGCTATCCAATATAATCACTATATGATATAATGTTTTAGTAAAATATTATATCTTTGTCTTTCAACTCCCAGTAATGAATAAAAGAAGTAATCAATTTTTTTTTCTTGCATCAGTTCAAGCATTGGCTTGAGAGAAGAAAGGGATTTTTGTGAGTTCTTATGGGTTTTGGTCCTTTTCGATAATAGAGAGTGGTTTGCTAAGCGTACTGGTGCAAGGTTGATGATTGTGGTTCATTTAAGAATGTGGAGCTTTGATTTTTTATTACATTGTATCATTTTTATGTGCTTTTGGGTATTTCACATGGTTTCTGAAGAAAATTAAATATCTTTGCTTTCTCACTCTTTGGTCAATGTTTCCGAATAAAACCCTATTTTTTTCGCTGTACCTGGAGTGCTCAGTGCTCAAAAAGGTGAGTTTGTTTCTCGTAATAAATAGTGAATTCTCTGCACTGTTGGTCTCATAAAGTTATATGTTTATGCTTTAATCTAGTTTGAGTAATTAGAACTAGTGTTATTTGTGATCAGTGAGTTGAGATATTGACGCACAAAAGAGATTTTCCCAAGTAGTCGATTCAATTGAGAAAGAAATGTTTACAGAACCCCCCCTGAAAGTTTTCAGAAAACCCCCCTAAAAGTTTACAGAAAACCGCCTGAAAGTTTACAGAACCCCCCCTAAAAATTTGCAGAAAACCCCCTAAAAGTTTACAGAAAACCCCTGAAAGTTTGCAGAAACCCCCCTGAAAGTTTACAGACAACCCCTGAAAGTTTGCAGAAAACCCCCTGAAAGTTTACAGAAAATCTCCTGAAAGTTTGCCAAAACCCCCTGAAAGATTGTAAGTAAATCCCTGAAACTTACATATATATAGAAGCATCATAATCATAACTAAATGGGTTATTGGGTCACCCATGAACCACTCATTTAGTAAATGAGTGGTTGAGAAGTGGCCCATTTAGCATTTGGTCAACTGATTATAAATGTGCCCACCAATTTATGACCCAACCAAGATCCAACCAAAACTACCCATTTGACAAGTAGTAGTGAGAGTTAAATTATATGGATCGGATCGTAAACGGGTGAACCCAAATTTTTCCCATTTATGAAATGGGTCAGTTGACGTATTGACCCGTATAACACAACCAACGTTCGTGACTTCGTCCCTCACTCCCTCGTAGACGCGCCGCTGCAGAGAAAGAAAGAAGAAGAAAAAAAAGAAGAAGCCCTATCCCAGTGGCGGCGAGCGTCGGCGATCGGCGAGCGGCAGCGAGTGGCGATTTGTTGCAGATTAGGGGTCTTTGATTTTTTTCTCCCCCTATTTTTGTTGCGGATTAGGCGATTTGTTGCGGAGTACGTTCTGCTTATATTTTCTCTCTGCAACCTTGGCAGGCTTCTTCGTGCTCAGAAATCTCAAAGCCCAGCCTGAGTTATACGAGAAAACAACCAAGAAATTGAAGAGGAGAGCTCCCCTAAAGAACAGCTTCCCCTTTTGAATTAATTACTCCCCAATTTCCCTCCCAACAATGCGACCGGTATCCAAATGAGCAAACAACCCCCGAAGCTCACCGTCAACCTCGCCCGTCTCATCTCTCACCTCCAGCTCTGCTCTAAAACCCAGAACCTCTCGAGGGCGAAGCAAATCCATTCCCATCTCATCACCAACAACTTCCATTCCTGTCCCCAAACCACCACCTCCTTAATCTCTCTCTACTCCAGCCTCAACCTCCCCTTCGATTCCCTCTCAGCCTTCATCTCCTCCCCTCACCCTCCCAATCTCTTCACGTTCAATGCCATCATCTCTTCCTTCGCCTCTAATAACCTCCCCGACCTCGCTCTCGACTACTACAACATCCTTAGGTTGGAGACTGTTTTGGCCCCCGACAAGTTCACTTACCCCTGCGCCATCAAGGCCTGCACTTCCTTGGGCGTACATTGTGACGTGCAGAAGATTCACGGTGAAGTTGTGAAGATCGGGCTTGGTTCTGATAAGTTTATTGCCAGTGCTCTGGTTCGTTCTTACCTGGAATTTGGGTTTATTGATTATGCGCAGAAGATGTTTGATGAATTGGCTGAGAAAGATGTAGTCTTGTGGAATTCAATGGTTAACGGGTTTGCCCGGAAAGGCGATTTTGGGAATGCAGTTGAGTACTTCAGGCAAATGGGTTCTGATGGAATTATGCCTAGTTCATTCACTCTTACTGGAATTTTATCGGTTTTTACTGCAATGGCTGATGTTTTCTGTGGGAAGACTGTTCATGGGCTTGTCGTGAAGTCTGGATTTGAGGAGGGGCTGTCAGTTTCGAATGCATTGATTGATTTGTATGGGAAGTGTCACGAGTTGGTGGATGCAGTGGCGGTGTTCGAAAGGATGCGGGAGAAGGATTTGTTTTCGTGGAATTCGATGATTTCAGCATTTCGGTATAGTGCTGATCATGGAGAGACTTTGAGGTATTTTGTCAGAATGAGGCACGCAGGTGTGCTGCCGGATGCTGTTACTCTTGCAGCTGTACTGCTTGCTTGTTCTCAGGTATAGCGTAACAAAATCATTGGATATGTTATTAGTTGTATCTTAATTATATTTATGCAAAGTTAACCAGTTAGCATTATCGTTTCGTTCTTGATCAGTTTATTTTATGCCATTTCAAAATTTTCTAGGAGTTACTGTTAGCAAAAATGCTCTTTGTTGCCAAAGCCTTTGTTATTTTGGCTTCAGTTGTCCATATGGGTTGCTCAGGTCTCAGACCTGGAAATTGGGCAATGGAGTAAACATGTTGTGTTGTTGTTAAGGGGAAAAAATGTTTGGGATTTTGGAGCAACACGAACATACACAACAAGAAAAAATGAGCAACAAAGATCACTAGGAATTTTCACGTGGTTTGGGCTACCCTTAGGGGCCTGTTTGGATTTGTAGGGGGTGAAGGGAAGTTAAGGGAAACTGAGTGAAGGGAAGGGAAGGGAAGGGAATTCCCTTCCCCTTGGTTACACCCCAATTTGGGGGGTAACAATTTTTATACTATTAGGGGGTGAACCAAGGGGAACTAGGGTGAATTAACTTCACCTTCTAAGTGTTCCCAAACAAGATGAATGGAGGTGAATGGTTCCCCTAACTTCCCTTCACCCTCATTCCCCTCAATCCAAACAAGCCCTTACCTTCGTGGTGGCTCACCACGGAAATTCACTATACATCACAGCCCATACAAGTTTCGATGAAAGAAGCTTGTAAGTCCTCACATGCCTCACACCATCCCAGAAACCAGAGTACACCTAGCCACCCGCAATCAAGAGCCTAGTAATGATGATATACCTCATCACTTGCACTCAACCTTTTATAGTCCCAATGAGAAGTTTCATGAAGCTGTCCATTAATGCCATAAATTTTGATTAATGCACCATTTCATCTTTCATGCATGAGCCATGACCTTCAAGCTTCCTCAGGAAGCTTCCATCTTCTCAATGACAACCTTAAAGCTTCCACTTCAGCTTGTCATTTCTCTAGATTAATTAATAAACTTTGGTTTGTGAAATTTGTGACCAACAAAAATACCGTTGTTGTTGTTTTTGTGCTAGTCCAGAAGCATTAGCAAATTGACGTCTTTCTAGTTTACATATTAAACTCTTGTTGACTAGACTTCCCTTTCTGCTTGACACTTAAATGGTTTTTTGTTGTTCTTTATGCTGAATTAAGAGTTTTAGCCTGTAGCTGGAATCATATCAAGAGTATGGTTATATTTTCTACTGCTTGTGTTGTACACATGCATGTTTTACCACAAGCTTATCAATTTATCAATATTATAGCTATAAGACTGCAGTTCTGTACTATATTAAGATGAGTGTAATTTGTCGGGTTACACATTTTGAACTTTCTTAAATATCCTTTGGTGTGTACTTTTTGTATCTCCAAAACTATCCTCATCCTTAGGTCAACTCTTTTTTATATTTATGAAATGATTTTTAAATGTGCTACTATTATATAAACTTTTAATTTATGAAAGTTACTTATTAATTCTTTATTTACATATTTTTTGGTTATACCTGTCAATCTAATTGACCAGTATATACTTGTAGCTTATCTGCTTGGAAACATAATTAGTTACTTTTTTAGTTTATAGTTTTTTTTTCTTTTTAATTTTTTGTATGGTTCTTTTGAGCTAGCATGGAACACTAGAAGTAACTCTTGTCTTCAGATTGTCTGTAAAGTCAGTTTTTTGTAATTTTTGGATTATGATTATGGTTTATTGTTTTTTACCTATCTACCACTGATTCTCTTGTCATTTATTTGCTTAACAGTCGGCATCTTTGATGCATGGTCGTGGGATTGTCTGTAAAAAAACAGTATACTAGAAGTAGCTATTGTCTTCAGATTGTTTGTAAAGTCAGTTTTTGTAATTTTTGGATTATGATTATGGTTTATTATTTTTTACATATCTAACACTGATTCTCTTGTCATATATTTGCTTAACAGTCAGCAGCTTTGATGCATGGTCATGGGATCCATGTATATATGATAACAAGTGGTATCAGTTCCAGCAGCGACGTGTTCGTGCACAATGCTCTGATGGACATGTATGCGAAATCTGGTGCATTAGCTGATGCTAACCAAGTGTTCAATATGATGCCTGCCCATGATGTTGCCTCTTGGAACATTGTAATCCATGCCTTTGCTGCTCATGGCCTTGCTGCAGAAGCATTGGAGCTGTTTGATGCCATGTGTGCAGCCAGAGTTGCACCTGATGAGGTTACATTCGTCGGTCTTCTCTCTGCCTGCAGCCACACTGGCCTAGTAGAGCCTGGTCGTGATATATTTCAAAGAATGGAGGTAGAGTATGGTGTTGTCCCTGTAATGGAGCATTATTCGTGCATGGTTGATCTCTTAGGACGTGCCGGGAGGCTGAAAGAGGCCCAAGAGGTAGCAGAACAGGCTAAGGAGACAGGGGTTTGGAGAGCATACCTAGCAGCATGTAAAATGCACGGGAAAATTGAGCAGGCTGTAGAGGCCGCAGAAAGAGTTGTAGGATCAGAGCCAAAGGAAAGTGGGGGATATGTGTTGTTAGCAAATGCATATGGGTCGGCTGGGAGGTTCGAAGAGGTGGAGGAGGTGAGGGGGGATATGTGGAGGAAGAAGGTAAGGAAAGTGACGGGATGTAGTTGGGTGGAGGTGAGTGGGTTAGGATTGAACACATTCGTTACGGGGGTTCTTGATCATCCAAGAGGAATAGAGGTTTGTGGTGTGTTACATGGATTGGTCAGACAGATGAGGGAGTTTGGTTGCTTGTACCATGATATCTTGACGCAAGGGATTGACCAAGATGTGGAAGAAGCATCGGCTACTATAGGTGCAATATCCATCCGATCACAATGAGTCATTGCCTTAAATATTGATGCATGGATAATGACGACGATGAGGAAGCTGCACTTAGCATCAGAGAAATAGTTGTATACATGATAAGGACCTATTATTGTTCCATAATCTAGAGCTTGAGAAAGATGAAATTTGTGTTGCTGCATCATGAGAAGAGGAAGCAGAAGTTGGCCTAGGAAAGTCATATATTACAGTGGATAAATGGACTAAAGCTCCATGACTGATCGGATTCAAGGGTAAGTCATATACTACAGTGGATAAATGGACCAAAGCTCCATGACTGATCGGATTCAAGGGTGTCAAAGCCCTTTCTTTTCTCTCCTTGCATCTGATGCAGCACACATTTAATAAAAACAAGTTTTCCATTCTTATTATTAGTTTCCTATTTTATTATTTACTAGAACTATTTGCTAAGTTTCCTAATTTCATGTTTCCTAATTTCCTTTCCTATTCTTAGTACGTTTTCTATTCTTTGTATTATGTATTCTATTTAAGGCTTTGAGTTGTATCTAGATGGAACAAACTGAATAATCTTTTTGTTGAAAGTTATCATTAGTTTTTTCTCAATTTCAGTTCTCGATTGTTTCTTTGAAACACTTATTCCGCTGCACCAAATTGGTATCAGAGCTTGGATTTTCACCTGGACCTGATGGCTGAGGACAGTTCTTGTGGGAAACAACCCGCTGACGAACGACAACTCGATGACTTTGCTGAAACACTTCACAATCTGACGCAGATGATGGCTGCGTTGACTGCCGAAGCGAGGCATGAAAGAAGGGAGAGGCTACTGGATCGAGTAGGGGACCTGTCGGGGAACGGTAACCCCGGTAGTAATTTTAATAACCATTAAATCCAATTTCTCTGATGCCGATATGATAGCTCGATTATATATATATTTTTAATTTTGCTACAACTTTGAAAAAGTTCTGATTTTGTGATGCAGATATTGGTACTTTTTTATGAGTTATAAATTTATCGTTTCTAGAGTTTAATATTAACTTATCACTCTTATTAAATCAATTGAATGCATAGTGTCTTAGGGTTTCTGTGGCGATTTAAAAACCATTTTAACATGCATTTCAATGTTCACTTTTAGTTTTAATGTTATAAAAATTGAAGAAAGTTGTGATTTTTGTATTTTAGAGCTTGATACATATTCTGGGCCTATTGTGTTTTAATTTTATAAATTGTTTGCTTGTTGATCTGGTTGTGGTATTAAGTGGTTACTTTATTGAATTGATTGAAACGACAGGTTGAAGGAGGAAGAGGAGGATGTCTCACAGGAAGTTTGAGCACCCGAGGCATGGGTCCCTTGGTTTCCTCCCAAGGAAGGGAGCTTCTCGCCACCGTGAAAAAGGTAGATTTTTTCCATATTTTGATTTGATACGAATTGAATCGGATGTATTGTCTAATTTTCTCTTATTAATTAATTACAGTTTTCGCTATCCCCGTGATTATTTTATGTTTTATGTTAGCTAGGGCTGATTATTTTATGTTTCATTAGGCTTCAATTACAATCAAGCACTAAAGTATTGTGTTATACTTGTAGTTTATGATCTTTTATATAAGATATTAGCACTTCGTAAGGGTACAAATGCTAAGAAGATGTCTTCGCTGTTCATCTTAATGCGTGTGAAAAGATCTTGAAACTATTCAATATCTACTAAAGCGTGATATGTCGAGTTTAACACGGAGATATCTTCTTTGTATCTATATGCTCTGGCTTCCATATGAGCCTAAATTCCTGCAGAAAAGCTGTTTTATGCAATGGGTTGTCTTAGAAGAATATGATAATTTCTTCTTTTGAGTAAATTTTAGACATAAACCTCAAAATTTGCGGAAACTTGAGTTTCAAATTGATTATTTGATATTTTAGAAGTCCAAGTTGTCAAAAAGGTCTGTTCCATTGGTTTTGGAAGTCTGACTGATATTTCAGAATGGGTTTCATTGAAATCTATCTTCAGGATGGTATTCCAATCTCATTGTGTTCTAAAATTTAGTTATTCTATTACAATGCTTTTCAAAACTAAATCGTAGCTTTTTTCAGATTTTTAAAGCTGATCTTGTATATGTATCTGTTGACATGCTGAACTTCATGGTCCAGAATATTTCCCTGTCTTTCCCTGATTGGTAGTTGTTTATCTGTCCATTCATAGCTAATTCGTCTTTGTCATTTCTGGCTGCAGTGAAGTCCTTCCCCAAGGATGACCCAACAAAGCCTTGCAAGCTCACCACATTCCTTGGTTACAAGGCTGGAATGACCCATATTGTCCGTGAGGTGGAGAAGCCTGGATCAAGTAAGTCAGTGATTGATAACGAGATATTATTTCATTGTTGCTTTAGGGGTCAATCGTTGTGGAGGGAAACAGATTGATGTTTCATTATCGATGTATTTTTGCCTAAATCTTCTAATCTTGTATTCTGATGATGTTTTCTAAGTGCAATGTTTTCCCGGCGCTTTACATTGTTCCCTCTGTCAACTTCCTACTTCTTATTTTTATTTTGTGCAGCTGTTTTGCTGCTTCGCATACATGCTCTGTTAACCTTACTGCAAATTCTTGCACCGCGATCTTCTCTTGGCACGTGAAAATTTAGATATACTTTTTGGATTTCAATTTTTTTCACAATGTGTGTGACAAAATCTAATTTTCTACGACTATGCTTTTTATGCATATTTTTCAATGTTTGTTTCTATTTCCATAATATACAGTGCTAATTTTTATTTTTTTAAACTTTTTATTGTAACTAGTACTATTCCACCAATGCATATTGAACAATATATTCACCTCTCTCTCCATAAATTTTTTAATTGACTATGAGTGCATTATGTGCTTTGAACTGGATGCCCCTGGAGTATTAATCTTATTTCACTCATGTTTGTTTAACTTATTCAATGTCTTGGGCCTCTTTCATGATATTGCTTGACATGCAGAGCTTCACAAGAAGGAGACGTGTGAGGCTGTTGCAGTTATTGAAACTCCTCCCTTGGTTGTTGTTCGGGTGGTTGGCTACGTGAAGACTCCACGTGGTCTTCGGTCTCTCAACACTGTATGGGCTCAGCATTTGAGGGGTGGTTGGCTACGTGAAGACTCCACGTGGTCTTCGGTCTCTCAACACTGTATGGGCTCAGCATTTGAGCGAGGAGGTCAGGAGGAGATTCTACAAGAAGTCTTCGGTCTCTCAACACTGTATGGGCTCAGCATTTGAGCGAGGAGGTCAGGAGGAGATTCTACAAGACTTGGTACAGATCCAAGAAGAAGGCCTTCACCAAATATTCAAAGAAGTATGAAACTGAGGATGGCAAGAAGGAGATTCAGACTCAACTTGAGAAGATCAAGATATATGCAAGTGTTGTCCGTGTGCTCGCCCACACTCAGGTTGTTATTTTATGTAGTTTTTTTCCGTATGCTGTGATTTCCTTATAAAAGTTGTATTGCTGTTTTCTCTTAATATATTTTTTGTCTGGCAAGATCTCAATGTTCTCTATAGGATTTAATGATCTAGAGCTATCTGATATGATCTTGCTGTCCTCTGAATGTCTGTTTGGGTCATCTTAACATGGCAACTTCTACTCTCTAGTTTCTTATCTACCAATAAGTATTTCGAGTGGAGAATCCATGTACTGATGAAATATATATTTGATAAACTATAAATCTGAAACTAAATTTAAATTAATTAATATCTTTGTTGGCACTGCATTTCTTGCTCCATCATTTAGCAATGTTAGTTTCTTATTTGATGGCATTCCATGTATATGCCTTTAATGATAATGTTTCTACAAGCCATATACAATAATATCTGCTTCTATCTATTTTCCTGCTGTGTTCTGGAGTCTGTGTAATTAAATCGGTAGAATCTAAGGATGTTGTCCTTTTTTTCTCTTCTCTTCTTTATTTTTCTTACAATGAAGTTTGCTCTGTTTTTGTTGTCCTTCAGGTCAGAAAGATGAAGGGTTTGAAACAGAAGAAAGCCCATCTCATGGAGATTCAAGCGAACGGTGGAACTATCACGGAGAAAGTTGACTACGCTTACAGCTTCTTTGAGAAGCAAATCCCAGTGGATGCTGTTTTCCAGAAAGATGAGATGATTGATATCATTGGTGTGACCAAGGGTAAGGGTTACGAGGGTGTTGTCACTCGTTGGGGTGTCACCCGACTTCCTCGTAAGACTCACAGAGGTCTCCACAAGGTTGCTTGTATCGGCGCATGGCATCCTGCTAGGGTTTCTTTCACTGTTGCTCGTGCTGGTCAGAATGGATATCACCACCGTACTGAGATGAACAAGAAGGTCTACAAGCTTGGCAAGGCTGGAGATGAGTCTCATACCGCTGTGACTGAGTTTGATAGGTAATTTTCTAGTATCTTTTTAGTGTAAAATTTACAAAACCTATAGGCTTTATAATTCATAGAAAATCCCTCAAACTTTCAAAATTATGTTAAACCCCTTTGAACTATTTAAAAGACTCATAAATGGTGTTAACAGAGAATAAAAAGTCTTTTTTACCTA